GAAGAGGAAGCATCGTCGTCTTTACGCTCGTCAGTACCGTGCACAGGTAAATTAATTTGCGCTTTACGTTATCGCCCTTTCAAAATATATTGAAAAGGAGCTAATTTTTATAACAAATTTTGGTATAATTAATACGAAATGTCTGTAGCAAAACGCACCTCGGCAACAATCTTAACGAGTAAAAATAGCACGGCGCAAATAATTTTTCTGAGACATTTTTTCACAAAAATGCCGATTTTTTGGATTTATTTATCTAACACTGAAAAAAGTAGATAATAACTTCTTGGACTAGCAGCTAGTCAATTAAACTTGGTCTTAATTAAAATTAGCATTACTCCCCGTATTACCCTCACTTTTTGAAGTATGATTTTATAAAACATTTTTTTTGCTTAATTGTTTCTATTTTTAGCTCTGGGCTGCCAAACTTCTAGGACGTGCTATTAAAACAGCGCTTAAAATAATTGCGCTGCGAAATTTACTCGAAATTACGAGTTTTTGAAACGCGCATTTTGGTTATGAACGTTCTTGTGTCTTGATAATAAAAGCCCAGCCGGCAAACCCAAACCTAAAATTGGTTGAAGCATGTTTTCGCTAAATTTTTCTTATGCTATGCCAATTACCATAACCCGCCAAATTTGGGTGTGGCTGTTCGAAAACTCGTGGGTGTCATTTGTGAGTAATCCGAGAGCTCAAAAAACGTATGAAACGTTCTTATCACCCATTGCTCAACCAATCGTTTTTCCGCTAAATTCGAAAGTGTCTGCGACACGTGGCGCGTCATGGTGGCAACGTAAATGTCAGACAACTTTGTAGTGAGCGATAAGGAGAAATCAAAAACGGGATTTAAGAGCATCTACAGGGTGTCCCAAAAAAAAAAGACCCCCCCCCCAAAAATTTGAGCCAGAGGGCACCTACGGAGCTGAAAATTTGCACAGAGGTAGCGAAGCCAATTTTCTATGAACAAGGAAAGTTTCAGCCTGATCGGCTTGCGGGTTTTAAAGTTATAGCGAAAATACTTTTCATTTTTAATTTAATATGGGGATCTATGCAATTTGCATCAAAAATATGCGTTATTCTTGCATTTACGAGCCGATTTTGCATAAATTCCGCTGAAAAATGCCATTTTCTTGATGGAGCTTTTGGAAAACGATTGCTCGTGTAGCGAAAAAATGATCAGCAAGAACGATGAATACCAGACCTCATGGCGGAAACCATCGTTAAACGCTTGAGCTTGGCTTAGACTTTGGCGTACGCGCCAACATAAGCCCAAATCTAAACTTCAACACTGTTTTCGAGCTCGTCGAACTCTGTTTTCGGGTCGACGAAGCTCAAATTGCCAAAAGGGACAATAACAAGTGACTTGGATCGATAAAACAGTTGCTTTAACACTTTTTTATTCTTCATACGCAATCGTTTTCCCAAAGCTTCATCAAGAAAATGGCATTTTTCAGCGGAATTTATGCAAAATCGGCTCGTAAATGCAAGAATAACGCATATTTTTTATGCAAATTGCATAGATCCCCATATTAAATTAAAAATGAAAAGTATTTTCGCTATAACTTTAAAACCCGCAAGCCGATCAGGCTGAAACTTTCCTTGTTCATAGAAAATTGGCTTCGCTACCTCTGTGCAAATTTTCAGCTCCGTAGGTGCCCTCTGGCACAAATTTTTGGGGGGGTCTTTTTTTTTGGGACACCCTGTATTAAAAACGATTGCTAGATTAAAAAATGTTTCATCGAACTTCAAATATAATGGATTGTGAAATTTATTAATGGTTCCACAGGCACCCATCTGCTAATGTGTCGATCAGAAGAAAACGTTTCAAAGAATTTTAAGGGCCGAGAGTTTATTAGGATTACTGTTACAATTTTTACCCTGGAAAATGTTTCAAAAATTATTCAAAAAATCGGTTTTAAGATATTGATAGTGTTATCCAATTTTTTTTTTCTAATTAATACTTTAAAATACAGGCACAAATACTGGCTTTTTCAGATGCGCAACAAGATCGACGAGGTGAAAAAGCTGCAGGACGAGCTGGAGGCGGCCAAGAAGAAGCACCAGGACGAGGTGGCCCAGTTGAATCGGTTAGTTGCCTTAAAAATCACTTAAATATTTATTTTAAAAGTTTCACCGGGCACTGGACTATTAGCGGGGGGCGGGGAAGAGGGCTTGCGGAGAATAACAATTTTTCACAGTAATTCGGTACTCTACCATACCGGAAATAAACCATGTTTATAGAATTTTACACAGTTTTTTTAGAAAAAGCTCATAAAAATTAATAAATTTTTAAAATTATGATTTTTTAGGTAAAAATGTATCAACAATAACGAAAATCTTTATGCTTTTTAACCTATATCCATTAAAAAAAGATGTTTACAAATTTCTAGCGATTATACTATTACTAGCGGAGATATTAATTCCAACTTAAAGGTCATTTTGCTAGCTGTCATTCATGAAACATGAAAATTCAAAGTTTCATTGCTTTTGGGTTTCAAGGGGAAATTAATTAATTAATGATGTGTTATAAATCTCCCGCTAGCTATTCAGAAACAATTTATTTTTCTCACAATCTTTCTTCATCCCCGATTTTCAGGACGATCATCAGCCTGATCCAGCTGAATCAGCAGCTCCTCCCCATCCTCAACCCCGGCATGCAATTTAATTAAATTTAATTGATCATTATTTTTGAATGCACATCCTTTTGCGTTGCCCATTATAACCATTAATTCATGCCATATTTTGCTAGCAAATATTTAATTTTTCACAATTTTTATCGTCAACTAGAAAAGTTTTTTTTCAAAAAAATGCTAGATTTTATTTAGCGTATCCCAGCCATGAAAGAAAGCTGCAACATTGGTTGATTAGCATTTATAAAGTAAAACAAAACATTTTTTTGGCCTATTTGTGCCTTCATCGCATTAGTAGAACACCAATTTTTTTGATTTTGGAATTTCACGAAACATCAAAACACAAATTTCTATTTTTTTGAACTTTAAGTTTTAATGAACTAATTAAATTTTGCGGCTTTGCTTCGGTTTTATTTCCTTGCCCGTGCTTCCGAAGCACTGTAATTACGGAATTGTACGTATTGCTTTTTCTTTGGAATTTTGAAACCTGCTCGAATGCCCGCTCAGCGAAACGCCCACCCCACATAATAGCCCTCAACTTGTGATTTGTGTGAACCCCCCTTCCCCCATTAATGCGTGTTAGGCCCTTTGACATTTCCCATTTAACGCACTACCAATATTGTAATTACGATTCGCGATGCGAAAATAAAGAATTTTGCTTCATGTTAAACGTGCTGACTGGGCCTAAATTTTCGATTTTTGCCTGAAAATTAACAGAAACACACTTTTAGAGACCATTTCGGAAGATATTTTAAGGATACTGGTTTTATGCTGCGTTTCCTATTTAACGCTCGACCAACATTGCAACTACGATTCGTGATGCGAAAATAAAGAAGGTTCGTGAAAACCATCTCGGTCGGATTTGCATTAGGACCAGATTTTCAAAGTCCATCAGAAATTTTTGAGAAACACATTTTCCTTAAAAATTTTGGAGTTATACCCAAAATTTTCAAATTATTTTTATTTTTGGGTGTTTTAACGCGATCCCATAGAGCATCTAAAAAGGTCTAAGTGATTTCGATTACAGTCCTCCAATAGCCATAGAAAAAACGAAAATAAACTTATTTTCGCGATTACGAAACTTTTTAGCATTCGGTTAACGCGTTTTGATAGATCATCAAAAAAATGTCAAAAGTTTTAATTACCGCACAAAATAATGAAATCTAAGATGGAGAAACCATCGACAACCCCCTCCCGCTAACGCACCAGTACCGGAAACAGCGCTGCGAGACCTATAGTCGGGGGTAATTTCAGGAATTATATAGGGTTTATGCAATTGAAATGCAGGTGCGCCGAGGATTTATCAGATCTGTGTTTCAAATTTCTGGGAATCTTGGCGGCTTAGTAACGATAGTCCAACACTGGTTGCAACGGGGAAAATCAGGGAAACAGATAATTTAGCAAACCTTTCTCTCTCTCCCACTCTCGCTTCTCTAACTCAGTCTATATCTCTCTCTATTTCTCTCTCTCTCTCTCTCTCTCTCTCTCTCGCTCTCTCTCTCTCCTAATTTCACAAAATCAATGGCAAGTGTCGATTCGAATTCTGATTCGACCCATCAAGGCAGATTCTGCACGGCTCGAGGTCGAAGGTGACTGACAAGCCGGCCCATTTGGAAAGTTCGTAAGCGGGTGAAAAAAGGGCGTGCTATCGAGATTAGCCGACCCCTCCGACGCGCCGAATTACGTTTTCAGGCTGATAACGAGGGGATGGGCGCCCTTTTCGAGCAGACTAGAGAGAGGTTTCTCTGAATATTTCGAACGGCATTATTTTTCTGCTTTGACGAAATCAGTGTTTCAGCACAATACAAAGGCCAAGTTGGGATTGGCAGATGAATCACTTCGGTTGATGCAATCTAAATAATCGATACCCAACAATACCTATTCGTCAACCCTTTATTCCGATACCACAAATCAATATACCCTGGGGGGAAAATGGGCGGAAGGGCACGCGGAAAGGAACAAATCAATGCTAGTGGGACATGGGGGTGAGGGGACAACAGAGGTTCCCACCAAACAAATACACCTCTAGAAACGTCAGTTAAAGTCCGATCCGTTGCAAACTTTGTAAAAACATGCGGAGGCAACATCTACACGAGCATGCAAAACCTTAATCCGATCCGGTCATGAGTTTTAAAGTTACGTCAAAAAACATTTTTGTCGCCACCTTGGTGTGAAGTTCTGTACTTCTTTGGTCATAACTTTGCCGCCCATAATCCAATTGTGCTAGACATTTGCATGAACGTGTAGATGCTACTCCCGCATATTTCTGCAAAATTTCAAGAAAATCTGACTTTAACGAACCATTCTAGAAGAAATTTGGTGGGGAACTCTAGTGGCAGTGGGGAGAAAAATGTACGAGATGTTTTGTTTCTATTCGTAGACGTCGTCCTTCTCGATGCTGAACGGGGCGAAGATGCCGCGGATGCCGGTGCGCTTCCGGAAGTAGGGATCGCTGGAATTTGATATATTTATTGTAGTTTGGTTTATTTAATTTTGCTCTAAAGTTTCTTACGAAGAAGCAGGTGAAAAGCCGTGTTTATCGAGTTGATGCCCGTATTTGAATTAAATGGTTTAATAAGGTTCATCAATTTTAATAGCACGAGTCAATAAATTATAACAACTTTAAGCGAAGGCAAAAAATAAAAATGTTACGAAAATTTTCCATTTTCTGGGCAGCTGAGTGCTATTAATGATACGTATAATGTCGGAGAGGTCTAAGATTTTCTGTTGTTATAAATCATTTATTAACTAAAAGGCTTGCAATTAAATGCTATAGTAATTTTTTTCCGGTCGGCAACATTATTAGTTTTTTTTTGATCCAGTCGAAAATTACAGCGTAAGTCATTCCAAAAATTCTGCCCATCGCTGAGAAATCTCAATCTCATCACCATATTGTATTAAATTGACAGATTTCGACAATACAGGGTGTTCCAAAAAAAAAGGTCCAAGTTTGTCCCCGAATAACTCGAGAAGGAAACATATTTCACCGTGCGTTACCATGCCAGAATGCTTAAATATGTCAGGAATAGGGAAATAACTCAACTTGATTTTTTCGATTTTTGAGTACGCAACTGTACTATTGACGGTGGTTACGACCGAAAATTGTGCGTTCTTGAAAGGGTGGTGGGAAAATTCTGATTTTTGGCCGAAAAATAGTTGACATTTGTAGAAAGGTAATGGCCAAGTCTTAGAATTTTTCAAGCTCTAATTCTTTTTTTTACAAACAAAACAAATTTCACTATTCGGCATTTTTTTACATTTTAATTCGCAACTCGCTTCAAATACGCTGCCCATGGCTGATTTTTTGCAGATGGTGTCTCCGAATGATAATCTTTAGCACAACACCAAATTTTACCTGATTCTATGGTATTTTAATATTGCTTGCTAAAACGTGCCCCAGAGGGATACTGTAGCTTTTGTTTTTCGCGTTTTTCTTTTTATTGTAAGCTGCGATTTCGCTAAAAATTTTACCATCGGTAAACACCAGTAAGGGGGACCTATGGGCGAAAGGTCGCGTAGTTCTAGCCATACACCTTCTTAAAATATGCAAAAAAACTGATTTTTGAATTTAGCCACGGAAATTTCTAAATATTTCGATGCATCGGACTAAAAACTACTATTATTTGTTTTCCTGAAAGATTGAAACGTTTCTATGGTGAAAAGAACGAGAAAACGGCGATTTTCTGTTTTCTACAGTAACCCGCCTGGAGCGCGTTTTAGCATGCCAAGACAAAATTCCATAAAGTGACGGTTTTTCGATTCTAGACTGTTCTCTGGGTGAATGTAAGAGCACCTACAAAAAATTACTTACTTTCTGTGGTAAATGACAAAGTTATGAAGGAAAGAGGAAAACCCCCCTCGTGCCCCGATTTTGGACCCGACGCCCTGGCTCGAAAATCGAATTTTTGAAAATGAGAAAGGCACCGGGGTTTAGTGGATACAATTAAAGCACGTATCGAACTGTGCATGAGAGCGAAATTCTGGAATGATCTGGATGAAGTTAATGGTTAATTTTGATTTAAAACCCAAAATTAACGTTTTTGGGAAGCCGACTTTGGGGTGCTCTTCTAAATTCGTTTGCCATGAAAGGATTGGTATTTGCATGGGTTCTAGTTGATTACCCAAGCTTGATCTATGCCAGAAAAGTCGGGCCTACTAAACCCTCGAGAATTTTTTTACATCGCCTCGAATTCGGGTTTATTTTGACTCTTCATGAATTTATTTTGAAATATCGGATGGCCCAATAAATTTGTAGATATAATCTTAGAATGCGCCCATTAAGCGGTATTAAATAAAAGTATGACAATAATTCTAGCCGCGCAAATGAATTTTATAGACTGGCACGAAGGTCTGCAAAATAGCACGAACCAACCGTTTTGGAGGCGCTAAAAGGCAGCCTTCCATAAGGATACGGTAGCTAAAAATTGTTTACATGATAGATGGACGCCAGTCCTACACAACGAAGCAAAGCAAACACCGAAATTCTATCTGCAATTTTAGAAATATTTTTCCAAAGTTCAGTTTTGTGACCTCGAAAGAATCCATGACCAGGGGGTCGTCAAAAAACTCAAAAATCCGCGGTTTTGAAAAAATTTTTTGATATTTTTGTGGGATTGTATCGAGCCTATAAACATGCTAAAACAGCTTATTTTGAGGTTTCCACCATAGGTTTTTGTAATATTCGAAATTTAAGAAATTTCTCCATATTAAATTTGAGCACGCTATAACTTGCCAACCAGACCTTCGAAAATTCTAAAATTCCGGATGTGCGTAGGGGCAGTCCTTAGGTACCTCCACTGTAAAAATTGGAAGTGTTCGACCACCAGCAATCCAAAAAAATGCAAACGAAGTTTTGCCGGAACGCACAGTTTTCGGGTGTCATTTGTATGGGTACGTCGCTAAAAATCGAAAAAATCAAGTTGAGTTATTTCCCTATTCCTGACATATTTAAGCATTCTGGCATGGTAACGCACGGTGAAATATGTTTCCTTCTCGAGTTATTCGGGGACAAACTTGGACCTTTTTTTTTGGAACACCCTGTAATTGGTCGTTACACGTCAGCCTAAAACACCCACTTCTCCGGCGTCTTCGGCTTGATGCACTCGCGGCGGAAGGCGTCGATCAGGTTCTGCTGCTCGGTGCGGTCCACTAAATCATGATTTTTAGGGTTATTTTTTTGTGTACCGTAGGCAATGGTCGAATTACAGGCTCCATTTTTCTTTCCAAAATGTACAGTGTGTCCCAAAAGCCCCCCCCTCCCCCCCTAGCGGCGCCCAGACGTGTCCGATTCTCGCCGTTTAAGTATCTATCGAAAGCTCTCGAAAAGGCGAGAAAACATGGAGGGTTCATTTTCTTTATTATGTATTTTTATTGGCCAATTTTACCTCCATAATCCATGAAAACGGCAGATTTACGCGAGATCCGCATGCTAATTGCGAAATTCCTATTAAAAATCTACCTTTTTTTAGAAAAACGCTGAATATCGGACGAATCAGAATAAAACTTAGAAAATGAAGCCCGCTTGTTTTCTCGCCTTTTCGCGGGCGTTCGAATGGTATAAAAATCATCCTGATCTGAGCTTCCCACGGACCGCTAGAGGGGGGGGGGGTTTTTTGGGACACCCTGTATAACTTAAAAAAATACCTTCATTCTCTCGGGCCCACGTGATCATGTCGACGTCCTCCTGGCTGCCGGCCGTCACCACGACACAGTAGACGAACGGGCGGATGAAGGGGCGAAGTCTAAAAATTGCTTTTAAAGATGTTTCGCAGCTTTCACTGATTTAGTAAAAGCAGAAAAGTTGCTTTTCGAAAAATGCTTCAAGGCATAGACCAAAGTTGGATTTTGCGCCTTATTATTGTTTTATTCAAGGGCAGAAACAAAGATACATACTTGGTGCACTCGCTGAACTTTTGCTGCTTCTGGCAATGCTTTTTCACCTGAAAAAAGCACATAAAATGCAGAGTCGCTTAATGGATAAATATTTTTAGTAAAATGTAACTATACTTCCTCTAAAAATTCGAACACTTGGTCGAAAATCCGTTATTTTGGCCGAAAAACCGATTTTTTAAATTTTGGCAAAAAAATTTTCGGCAAAATTTAGTAAATGTTCGCGCTTAAGAATAGGAAAAACACTTTTGCATTAATGAGCACCCACATCAGCGTCAAACATGGTCTTGGCCCAGTCGATGCAGCGGCGTTGGTCAAAGTAGCACGACAGACGGATCAGAAACAACGGATATTCACTGTAAAATCATCAAAATTCCTGCCGCCCAGCCTTTTATCGCATAAAATACAGCGGTAAAGAGAAAAAAACACCATGTTCAAAAGTTATCAACCAAAAAACCTACGCCTTTTGCGGGAGGCCGGTGCTGAGCTCGGGGATGTTCTCCGGCTGCTTCAGCTCCTCCTAGAAATAGGAAACCCCTTTACGTTTTATCACCTTTAATTTTCCGCAAAATTTTTGGGTGCTGGACTGTTAGCGGGGGGGGGGAATCACTTTTTGTTTTCCACCTATACCTGCTGATATTATGATATGTATTTTTCAATTGTTTTTAGTACTTCTTATTGCTACAAAAATCCTACAAATATTCTCAAAATTTCGAAAAGTCGAAAATTTTGACGTCCTTTTTCATGCATTTTTGACCAAAAAAATCGAAGTTTTCGACGTTTCTATTATTTTTTGATATTGTTTTTATAGGTGAAATCAACGTAAATTGTTATCATATTTTGCTATGGGCCGAAGAGAATCACAGGAAAAATTTTGGTCCCCCCCGCTAACGGTCCAGAACCAAATTCTTAATCCATATTAACTGACCGTGATGGCTTTATAGGCTTCATCGAGGCGTCCGTATTGCATCAGCCAGTTCACCATGAGACGCTGCAACAAATCCATTGTGGCGTTGATAAAAATTAGCTTTAGAAACTTTTTCGAATCATCTCAAAAAATAATGTTTTACGCTTGTGTGATTGCGAATTGAAATCGCATAACGCAATCTTGTCTTTGCGGATCCGAAAAACACCTCAAAAGGTTCGGGGTCGCTGCGTTTCGCATTCCAATCCAACAGCATCTGAACGAGGAGGGGCTGCACCTCGGGCCGTTCTTCGCTAAAAAATCCGTCCTTTGAACCCTGGTACAGTACTAAAAACACGAGTAGCACTCTTTAAATACATATGCGCAAAATAAAGTAAGAGTTGAAAATGAAAGTAATAATAAGATAGTAATAAAATAAACAAATTTGCATAAAGTTGCGCACTTCAACACCGAGTCGTAGAGCCGCCAATGGTTCGGGTGCTGGGCTGGATATTCGATCCAAGTCTGAAACACGAATTAAATTGAAAGAGAGAGAGAGAGAGAGAGAGAGAGAGAGAGAGAGAGAGTGAGAGAGAGTGAGGGAAGGGGGGAGGGAGAGCCAACCTCCCAACAAGCCCTTCGTCCAGGGCATCAGCATAAAGCGCCAAGCGGGTCAGCGGCGTCACCTGGAAGTTGCAATCAAATAGGAGAACTAATGGCGCATGCTCGTACTAAATCACCACAACCGAAGGCCAGTCCCTGAATTTTTTGAAACCTCATCAAGTGCTCAGCAAAAACGAAAAATTTCATCTTTTGATTTTTGAAAACCTTAAAATATGCTGTTAGGTGTTCTTGTCTTATTTTAACTTCAAGGCGGCTTCAATGCTTAAAAAAGCGCAAATATGAAATTTTTTAAAAAACCTTAGGTAGTAGGGTTTTGCCCTCACCGAGTACGGCAAGAATAAATAATGTGCCGTCGGTTAAGATGCTTAACGATTTTACCTGTTGCGTCGGAAGGATTGAATTTTGAATTTATCCTGTTTATAAAAATATAGCATTAGCCCACTTAGCTTATCACTTTTTTGGGGGAGTGCTCCCTTGTTTTGAAATATAACTAAAAATTTTTTTGAAAAAGTGTTTCAAAACATTCCCAGAACCAAAAAAAACATTTCATGTACTGAATTTCCATTCGTCTTCTTATTCTTCAACTCACCGCGTTCCAGTCAGAACTGCTGCGCAGGCGCTCGATCAGGTAGGAGAACAGGATTTTCCACTCTGGAAATTCGAATGTCTTTTTGCCAAGAGAATATTTAGACAGGTTTGCCTTAAAAGTAAGATTAAATAAAATTTTGAATTAGATCATAAAAATTAAATTAAAATTCGTTAAAATGTTTCATATTAATTAATTCTAATGAATCGAGCTCTATTTGGTTAGTTAGTTTATCGGGAATAGCATAAATTAATGAGGATGGCACGAAGGTATAATATAAGGCAAGTTCTATGTAACAAGGGTAGTAAACAAAAATCATGAAATTCGCGGTAATGAATGCGTACCTTCCCGGGAGTACTCGACACGATAGTACCCTCGGCCCTCCCATTTCATGATGATCGGCACCCCGGACGTCTGCTTCACCACCATCGGCCACTCCTTGTAGCCTAAAGTGGGAAACATGGATTCGCCAATTTCTCGCAGCCTGCCAAAATATATATTTTTTTAATTTTAACGTTATCGTACCGTAAATTAAATTACCCTAACCGACTTTATGAATGAATTATATAAATACCCGGCGGGATCCAGTCGAACTGAATGGTGGCTGTCGGGCTGGTCCCATCCGGAGCCCAGTATTCGATCGGAATCGCCCACATTGCGTTTCGGCTGGAACGGGCAACGGAAAATTCGGATGTTTCGTCTAGTTTTGGTTAGCCGGGCAGTACTTTCAAGGCAGTGTTTGGTTTAGGGTTGATATCTCCGCCATCACAAAAAAACTTGAGACTGCTGTGAGGGGTAACAAGAGATGAGCGGGCTTTCCAATCACTGTAAAATGATGAAAAAGTATTTGTTTACATTATTAAAATTAGCTTTGAAAGTGGCGCCTTAGTAAAACGAGTGGGGGCGCCTCTCACGGCAGGTCACGCCCCCTTTCCCCGGTCCCTCTTCGCCAGACTCTTTCCCGCGCCCAAATAGCAGCTTTTTAGGTTACTTTAATACTTTTAATACTTTTTAATTATGTTACTTTATTATTTAAAGTATCTAAAGTCATCGGGAAGGTATCTAAGTAGTTTTTGAAGGGGCGATGGGGGATCTGAAGCCGTTAGCGGGTGTTGATGGAGGTAGGGAAGGATTTGGTGGTGTAGGACATGTAGGGTAGCCCAAAGGCCAGTCGCGAAGCGACTTGAACCATCTGGTTGTCGTAATAAAAATAGCTGTTTCACAAAAATTACGGACTGACTAGAACGTTCTTGGTCTAATGGAATCTTAAACGACTGGATGAATTTTTCGGCTCGCACAACTGAGGAGGGCTAGCAATTCACTAGATTTCGAAGGCTTTTTTAATGATTGATGAATCATAATAGTCTTAATTAAATAATTTTGGAGGTACTTTGCACCCATGCAACCAAGCAAAAACGCCGAGGTACCTGAAAGTACGACGTGAAGCGGGGCGTTGCGTGAGCGTGCAAAAGTGCTCGTCGGTCTCGCAGTCGACGCGTACCACCGGGAAGCTCGGCTGAAACAGGTTAAATTTGCCGTATCTTAGCTGCTATTGATTTTCACATTATAGTGTTTTATGTCTAACCATAGACGTTGCCAAAAATTTTTGACATGTCCTTAAATAAGACCCAAAAATCATGCAGTTACCTCAAGAACCCAGGGGCGGACGATTGTGAGTAGTGAAGAGACGCCAGGCGGGAACTTGTAGCTGCTCGTCTGGCCGCCCGTCCACAATTTGTCATCTACCGGGTTGGAGTCGTCGGCGAAACGGCGCAGCGCTTCCTGTAGGAAATTGAATGTTTCGACAAACAAGTAGAAAAACCCGCTCTACCGCTACGTTAGTTATTCTATGAACGGATCGAATTATTAAAAACCATACGCTACGTTTATCGCTTCATCGTCGGTCTATTTTCAGCCTGATGTCAAATACCGTATTCCTCGGCCATTAACAACAAGAAAAACATAATTTTGGGGTGTTTCCAAGATTTCAAAATGCGTAAAATTTTGGTGTTTCATAAAATTATGGTCTTGAAGCCAGGATGAAGTCAAGAGTCAGGATGATCGAAGCGATGACAATTCTACTAGTTTACCTTCTAAGCTCCTTAACAAAAATCTACTTTCGAATCGGAAATAAAAATGGGTTCTTCCATATTTACGTTCTTCTTACGTAAAAAATTTACAAATTTAGATTAAAAAACACAATCAACTTTTCGACCAAAATGTCACCTATGAATAACTACTCTAACTTTTTCTGTTTTCCAGCTAAAATCACAGCATTAAAATACAAAAAACTAACAAAGCCCCGATAACGCGATATTATCCTGACCTTCATCCACGTCTGCTCGCTGTCTGTGCTGCGGAACCCGAGCATCAACGTGTCGAACACGGCCGTCGCCTAGAATTGCAAGATTTGAAAAACAATTTACTTATCGAAATTAAAATTTAAATAACTAAAATGCAGAAATTAAAATCAATCAGAATAAATTTAATCAGCTTCGAAAATTGAAAAAACTTGTTCAATTTATCAAAAAGCGAACCCGATAGACGGTGCCCCGGGCGGTGGTCATCTCCTCCAGCTCGTCGATGGTCAGCGATTCCAGCTGAAAATGCTCAACTTGCCCAGAATATTTAAACGGATTTTGAACTTCAGCATAATGAAAAATATCGAAACGGTAAACCGAATATACCATGCATTTTTGTGAAGAAAGTTGTATTTTTGGCAAAACCATGTTTCTCAAAAAATAGTAGTAAAAAAACCAGTTTATTACCTTTATTGGTTACGATTACCGGGTTCGAAAAATTTAATTTAAATCTTTTATTTAATTTTTTCCAGTTGCATTAAATTAAGCAGTTAGCACAGAAACCGACATCCCGACTGGCCAGCCCGATTCTAGCTGTGGCGCCGGCGGTGAACGCGGCGCGCATCACGTTCGAGAAGTGCAGTTTCTGAAACACCAGATTTTTTAGAGAAAAACGCATGTTAAGGGCCTGAAATCTCTTTATATAATTCCCAGAAGCAGTGCTTTACGAAACTTTTAAAAAATCGTGGTTCTGGACTATTAGCGGGGAGCACGCTTTGCTCTTGCTGACCCCCCGCTAATAGTCCAGTACCCAGCTTTTCCGCAAATTTTTTAAGGCTAAAGCTCGGCGAGATCGCATGCGTAACACTCAAATCGCCTTACCTTGAACCTTATCGATACCTTGAAGTCGCTTTATAAGCCCGTAATTCCTTACCAGATGCGCAAAGGGCTGGTGCTTGTTGGCGAGCGTGACGTAGAGCATATGCATGGCCATCCCGTTGGGCACCCAGTAGTGGTTCCAGCTGCCCGGGATGTAGTTGCCCAGCATCAGCTGCAAGTTCAGTAGTTTACTCGTTTTTTTTTTGTTTTTCCTTTTTAGCTTTTTCAAAATGAACTCACGGCCCTCAGATGGTTCTGCGCGACGGCCTCCCACATTTGCATGTAGCGCGTGTAGCTGCAGTGCCCAGTCGCGCACATCGTGTACTGCAAAAATAGCTTTAAATCAAAGCGCCTAAATAATGTTATGTTAAAGATTAGATTTTAAATTTGAATAGTAGATAAATGAAGCGACCAACTCACATACTCAAATATTTTTTGAAACCCCGAATATTAATTTTGGTTTCAGCATACGAAATGATTATTCGTAAATTTTTTACATTTCTATGGCGATAATCAGAAACATTCAATTTTCAAAAAAATTTCGGAAATGTTATTTTTTTTTGTTAAATTTCAATTAGGTATCTACATTTTATTTAAGTTTGTAAGAAAATGTTTTTCTTGTAGATTAGGCCTCTGAATAGCGCCTAAAATTAACAAACCCTTTCGCGGACCACGGACACCCAGGGGCTTGCCGTGTCGACGGCCAACTTGTTCGGCGCGACGCTGAGCGCTGAAAATCATTGTTTGTTAAAATTAGCAGTAAAAAAACCAAAAGTTTAAATAATTTAGCTAAGCTTAATTTAGCAACATAATTAAAAGGAAACAGGTAAAAACGGCCAAAAACTCGCCTCCGTCCATCCGCATACAGTACTCCTTGTCGGCGCTGGAAATCGTATATTTGATGAGCTTATGCTATCAAAAATTCCACGCCTTACCTGTGTACGCATATACCTTTACAGCTTAAGTTTATATAATACCGAAACACCCACTTTTTAACGCATCCGGTCTTTCGCGTGGTCGTCGCGTCGTCCAGATCGTAGTACTCCCACAGCGCCTCGCCCAGGGATTTTCTAAAAAAACAATCGGATGTTTCATCATAATTTACGATCAGGAATCTTTCAGCCCTGCGATTCCACTTCCATGAATAAAATCATGTTTTGCCAATAATTAGGATTCCAGGAAAGGCTCCAGAATTAGTCAGTGCACGCGCGCGTCAGTTGCAGAAAACTTTTAAGGGGGCACCGAAGTCTCGTCCCCCAGCGTTGACCGCTGGCAAATGGCGCCCGCGACCGCTTCGTACGCTCTTTTTTTGTGTTTTATGCTCTTTTGCAAAACGTTTGGATTTAAAAATTCTGATGCAACTCCTGGAATTGTCCAGGTATTCCGATTTCTAGCTTTTTTAGCTATCGAAAGTGACTCCGTAAACACCGACATCTCCGAATTGGGCGCTTTACAGGGCATCACGACACCTTGACCCGCCCCTCCAAAAACGCGAAATATACACGCGAACAAAACATTCCCTATTTCTCAATTTTTTCACGTTTTTCGCAACGAAATAAGTTTGCCGATACTTGTAGGGACTAGCCTTTCAATTTTTGACTCATGGGTTCGATCCCGTGCACACAAATTTCGATTTCTGGGCTGTTCGTGGTTCTAGAAAATTAGCGTACATAACGGCAGCGAGTGGCGGTTCGCTTTTGTCGTCGACGGGTTGTGCGCCTGCTGGGCTGAGGAGGTGGGTCGTCATCGTGCCCTGGAAATAGAGAGTGAGAGATAGAGAGAGAGAGAGAAAGAGACAGAGCCAGAGAGAGAGAGAGAGTGAAATAGAGAGAGAGAGAGAGAGAGCGCGCTAAAATACAGGGTGTCCCAAAAAAATCCCCCCCCCCCAGCCGGCCGCAGACCTGTCTGATTTTTATGATTTCGGTATCTATCGAAAGCTCTCGGAAAGGCGAGTCCAGCACGTCTCTCCGATTCTTAAAATTTTGAAATTTTTCTATCGTTTACTAATGTTTTTTGCGAAACGCGCGGATTTTCTGATGTTTTTCTGACCAAGGTGTTTTTCACAAAAATCGCAATTTAAGGATTTTTATGCCTTTCCTGGCAGCCCAACGACAGCTCTTTGAAAGCCGTTCGCGAAAACACAGTTTGGATAGCGCTTAAACCGGTTAAACTGAGTAAGCGTATCCTTTTTGCCTGAAAAATGCCGAAAATCGAGCAAAAATTCCGACATTTCGAAAATCGGCAAGACGTGCTGGACTCGCCTTTCCGAGAGCTTTCGATAGATACCTAAGTCGTAAAAATCGGACAGGTCTGCGGCCGGCTAGGGGGGGGGGAATTTTTTTGGGACACCCTGTATACCCCATTCTTCATCTTGTGCGATAGACGAGTTTGTGGATAACTGGAGACGACCAGCGTCATCAACCCCAGCGGCATCGGGGAGATCGAGGACTTCAGGTAGGCGTACTTCGTGCTAGAATCAAACTGAGCGTTTTGTATGTGGCGGCCGATTGGTAGTCGGCTATCTTTTGAGCCGCACCACCCGGGTTCGATTCTTTGCGGAGCAAAAATTGTTGTTTTCTGATGAGTGTTTTTCTGATCAGGTAGATGTCGAAACTTGGGTCTTAAACAGCCTATTGCCCAGAAAGAAAAAAGTTCAGCACCGGCCGGGGTCCGAACCCGGGCCTCGTGGCTGATAGGCAAGCACACAACCACTTGGCCATCCCGGGTGGCCGATGGGTGGCGGGTTGGGTTGTCGGGTGTACTACCTGGGTTCGAACCCCGCCATAGTGAAATTTTGCTTTTTGCCGAATCCAATTAATTTGAACTTTTGCATGATTAACAAAAAGAGCCCACCCGCCGTTCATGCTGTAGATCCCGTAATTCCACAGGCATCGCTTGTCTTCGTCCACCTCGCACGCACCCGACCAGCGCGTCTGCAAAATTAGAAAATTCGTGGGAATCAGGAAAAGTGTAAGCAGAACCAGTTTATTTGTTTTTTTAAAGAATTTTCATAATTACAATACCTAGGAAATTCTGCTTTTTTAGTCGGAAAAAATGTTTCTTGCCATTGCCATGCCATGTTGCCATGCCAGAACGTTTATTTAGGTTATTATTCCCTTTTCTATGAGTTAAAATTTGGACTTTACCACTTCTCAAATCAAAGCTGCCCCAAATGAAACCAAATTAAATTTGGATTTTTTAATTTAGATTGCTATTTCAAAAAGGAGTTTTTTTAGGTTTTGTGGCTATTTGATCTTTTGCCTATCTATTTCAAGTTATACTTTCAACGATAGTTTCAGGATTTCGAGCAGTTTTTTACTGTTTCAAGAGAATTTTTAAAATGGTGAACTAGTGGCAGGAAAAAGTTTTGCTCTATTGATTGGCATTGCAGTTTAGGCGCTTATCGCGCAGGAGTTTAAAAAAAGTCATAAAAAAGTCGATTTTACAATTTAAACCCGGATTGAATGTAACGGGATCTGGATGTTGGTTAAATTGATTTTAAAATCTACTTTTTGTGAATTGAAATGCAAACAAAAAAAGTTACAGAATTTTTCGATTTTTTTGTAATTTTGAAATTGAAATTTTTTTAAAGTGTTTTGCGTGATTGTGTTGCCCGAAAAAAGGTTTATGGCCAGTTTCTCGATCGACAGTTTGCAGTGTGTTTTCATTTGAGTGGTTTTTCTCCCTTGCTGTGCTCTTCTGCCTACTTCCCTTTTTGCCAGTTTCTCAGTGGTCTCTGCTAGCTTGCCCTGTCTAGAAAAGCTAATAAGCGCCAGAATAGCAACGAGAAAAGATTCACCAATTGTATCGAATTAGCCGATTTCTACCACTGAAAAGCTTGAAACATACCGGCTGCTCGAGGGCCTCGATGCCGGGGAAGAGGTGGCGGCCGGAGATCGGGCCCGGCATTGTGTAGATCAGATCACTGAATAGAAAACGTATTAGTTTACCTTAAAAACGACGAGAGTACCCATTTTCCGTGCGCACGTTGACAAGGCCGGCCCGGCGACGGTCCACCCGGTCGTCGTTCAGCGTTTGCGAGACTTTGAACTGAAAAATAAAGAAATCGTTGGCAGGAAAATCCACAAAAATGTGTTGTCAGTGCCTTTAAAGATCCCAAATTCGCCGAAAATGAGACCTTGACAACGAGTACGGTAGGCGGTATCATGCGGCCGAATGAGAGGGCGATTTGGCTCTGGTTTGGGCGCAACTCGATGCGGGCATCCTCGTATTTCATGTCGTCCGTCGGCTACAAAAAAAAGAGGTTTCTTCGAATTCCACAAAGACTCTCTGCTATCTATCCGCTGGCGCTAAAATGAAATTAAAATTAAGATGTTTCGCTCAAATCACGAAAGAATGGCAAAATAGTAATGGTAGTTGGTTTTTTCTCGCAGGTTTCATGAATTTGTTATGATATTTTTATAACTAAAACTGTGTAAACTATAAAAACGGACTATTTTCTGTTGAATTTCCTTGAATTCATTCAATTTGTCTTCATAAATTTCGACAGGTATCTCTTCCAATAAGAAAAAATATATGTTTCAGCACTCACCACATTAATAGGAAATTTCTGATTTGATAGTAAAGCAGGTCGCTCTTCTTACAAATTTCTCCTCGGCGATGGTCCATTCCTTCTTCCAGGTCTTCTCGTCGTAGACGATGAACTTCGCCTCGTCGATATGCAAATCCTTCGAGCAGTGGAGCAGCAGGGCCGAGTGAGGGGGAATCCGGCGGGTCAGCTAAATTTATGACGTTTGATGCTGTTTTTATGAAATGCCCCCAGGTAATATTGTCAAGATACAAAACCGGCTCTTAAGGGACTAAAATCAAACATTTTTTTTTGAAAAATTGTTAAATGTTCAAAACACTTTCCTGAAAAATTTTTTTTGCAAGACTTTGCAAAACGCCTAAAGGAAAATTGAGTTTGGCTCTTTTCTATTACCAGGGGGGTGGGTACCAAAAAAGTATTAAATTTTTTAAATTGTCAAAAAACACTAAAATATCGATTTTTCTACGTAAAATGAGATTTTCAAAGAAAATTTCAAACATTTTAAGTTGTTTTTAAACAGTTTTTCGCTTGAAATATACAGGGTGTCCCAAAAAAAAAAGACCCCCCCAAAAATTTGAGCCAGCGGGCACCTACGGAGCTGAAAATTTGCACAGAGGTACCGAAGCCAATTTCCCATGTATATGGAAAGTTTGAGCCATATCGGCCGACGGGTTTTAAGGTTATAGCGGAAATACTTTTCATTTTTAATTTAATATGGGGATCTTTGTAATTTGCATCAAGAATATGCGTTATTCTTGAATTTACGAGCTGATTTTGCATAAATTTTGCCAAAAAAGTCATTCTCTTGCTGGAGCATGGCGCGAACGATTGCGTATGAAGAGTAAAAAGAGTGTGAAAACAACTGTTTTATCGATCAAAACCACGCCTTATTGTGCATTTTGGTAATCTGCTTCGCGCTAGCCGCGAAACAGGGTTCGATGAGCTTCTAAGTGGTGCTTAAGTTTAGATTTGGGCTTGGGTTTAAGTCCCAAACTCTAAGCGAAGTTCAGGCGCTGAACGATAGTTTCAACCAATGTATCTTGTACTCAGCGGTCTTGCTGATCGTTTTCGCGCTGCATGAGCAATCGTTTTCCAAAAGCTCCAGCAAGAAAATGGCATTTTTTTGGCAAAATTTATGCAAAATCAGCTCGTAAATTCAAGAATAACGCATATTTTTGATGCAAATTGCAAAGATCCCTATATTAAATTAAAAATGAAAAGTATTTTAGCTATAGCTTTAAAACCCGTCGGCCGATATGGCTCAAACTTTCCATATACAGGGTGTCCCAAAAAAAACGACCCATCTGGCATTTCGCCGGGTTACATCCAATCGGCCTCAAATTTGGACCAGAGGTGTATCTGACCCTAAATAACAACAATCCTGACTTATAGCCTTTTAGCTACAGTCGTTCTCGAGTTATAGCAAAAACAAACTTTATTTTCCATTTTTCATAGGGTTTTCGTGGAATTAGACCCCCTAAACATTAAGTGGAAATGATCCGGTAGGCCTTCTGTACCATAAGAAATTTTTTCCAGAGTAAAATTAATTGAATAAGCTTCGATTTAAGCAATTTTTACAACGCAAAACTACCCAATTTCTTAAGCGAAATTAGGGATTCGCTGCCGGAAGTCGATGCAAATCGATGCAAAGTCCAAAAAGATAGCCGAAAAAACTGTTCAGAATTCCGGGAAAAACAGTATTTTCGTTATAACTCGAGAACGACTGTAGCTACCTGGCTATAAGTCAGGATTGTTGTTATTTAGGGTCTGATACACCTTTGGCCCAAATTTGGGACCGATTGGATGTAACCCGGCGAAATGCCAGATGGGTCGTTTTTTTTGGGACACCCTGTACATGGGAAATTGGCTTCGGTACCTCTGTGCAAATTTTCAGCTCCGTAGGTGCCCTCTGGCTCAAATTTTTGGGGGGGTTTTTTTGGGACACCCTGTAGATAAACGTGATGAAAATCATTACTAAAAAACTTAATTTGATGTTACTAAATTCTCTGGGCCGATAGGAAAAACTACGGTGATTTTCCTTAATTTTTGTCTTTCCATTGTTGAAAAAATTTTATATCCATCTAGCCTGAAAACGAAACATTTAGTTTTAGCCTAAAAAATTCCAAAAAACGCTAAACTACAGCACTGACCACAATTTTGTACGAGATCTCGGCGTTGTAGGCGGGCTTCTTGATGTCGCCGGCTTTCAGGTGCAGCGAGGGCTAGAAAAATTTAACACCTTTAAAACGGGCATTTGACCTCACCGTGATCTTGAAAAAGCCGTAGATAACCGTGGCGCCCGGGTCGGTGTGGTTGTAGGTGAGCGGCTCGAGGGGGCGAAGTAGCGGAGGACTAAAAAAAAATATAGTTTTTGACCGTTTTAAGGGGACTGTAAACTCAAGGTTCCTATGGATTTTCGGAAATGGCAAAGAATCTCGGCTAGCTTGCTCTGATCTATTTATTCTACATGCCTTCTGATTGCTACTGGCAACTTGGTTTCGCGTTCATTAGCGGGGGGGGGGCATCGGGAAAGGCCACGCCCGCACTCCTTGCCCAATAGGCCTATTCCCCCCGCTAAAGAACCAGAACCGCAATTTTTTCCCGAATTCCCCCAACGCAGAGATCAAATTTCCAAAAAAGAGCGTGTCATTATTCGCCATCTTTAAAATATTTGGTTTTAAAATTCTGGTTAATCTTAAAGTTTTTTGAATTTATTTAAAAACCCACCGGTTGACTTCGGAGCTCGCCTCCAGCAGAGCGACTGAAAAAAAAGATGTTACGACCAGGGTTGTTCATCGCGTCCCCGCCAAAACTTTCGAAGCCTATATCTCGGTGGGCAACGTACCTAGCGGGATGAAAATTTGTGGAGTTGTAGAGGAAACGGAGAGGAACGTTCTCACAAAATTTGAAAGTTGTAGCGGCATGTAGAAGCCCGGGGACGTAGGGGGACGCAAGGGACGGGGGACAGGGCTGTCACCCGTCCCCTGCGTCACCCTGCGTCCCCGTGCGTCCCTTAGCCGTTACCGCCTTGAAATTTTGCGTGAACGTTCTTCTTCTACTCTACAACTCCACAAATTTTCATCCCGCTGGGTACGTTGCCCACCGAGATAGAGGCTTCGAAAGTTTTGGTCCGGGGACGCGATGAACAACCCTGGTTACGACTAAACGTCAAGATTATTGTTTCAGATAGTCATTAATCCATGGTGATCCCTTTTTTTGATGATTTTGTTTATCCAATAGTACTATTATCCTACTATATATAAAAAAATAGTTTCTGTGTGTGTGTGTGGACACTTTGCATAAAAACCCGGGTTCCAGCCATAACTCGAGGGGAAGAGGATTTTATGGTTCAGAAGTAACGTGTTTAGGGGTAATCGAGGGCGTAGATTACTGCGCGCTTATCAGATTTTTACTAAAATGACGTTTTATACCTTATTTTAGCGATTTAAAAACATATGGAAATAGACTAATTTACATACGGCGATTAATTCGGCTCATTCTGGGCTTTGCGGGGTTCCGAGTCGGCTGCTCAAGTAATTCCTGTGGCGCCTTGCCCTTACGTAATTCGTAATATTAATGCATATTATAATATCCAGTGCCCGTGTATCAACGGGCCTGCAGAGAGGCCAGGGTTGAAAAGTCGCGAAGCGGCTTTTCAACCCTGGTTTAACTATATTTCAAGCGGAACACGGTGCCGTTCAAAAGACCGGCATTATCATCGAAAATCGCTATTTTATTGTGTTTCGTGGATAATTGTCTTCGAAATCGAATTGTATTTTTCGATTTGGTTTGTTGGGTTTCTTGCACTAGGGAAACGTTTGCTGATCACCTTGTCTTCAAAAATGTTATAAATTCGTATCGCTTATGCTGCAGCCGCAGGACGCAACGCGCGAAACAGATATGAGCTCGGGTTCTCCCGCTCTCTCTCTCTCTCTCTCTCTCTCTCTCTCTCTCTCACCCCTCTCTCTCTCCCTCACTGTGTCGCTCATGCTCAGACAGATGAAACGTACACTGCTTGCGCTCGGCCTCCAGTTCATCGGCGGTCCATTTCGGCTTCTCTCCAGGCTCTTGCCCCTTCACATAGCCGTCCGACTGAAATTTAGTCATAAAAATCAATGTTCCGTCAATTTACACTAGCTGGCCGGAAAAAAATAAGTTGGTGATACGATGGTCTTTAGATAAATTTCGAAGCAAATTTATCTGACGGCAATGCGTTGGAAAATCACTGCAATTCATATGAATTTAGTTTTTCGAGGATTTTTAATTGGTGCCGGACGGTTAGCAACGGGGGAAACTAATGTTTGTTTTTCCCCACTTTTGCCTCCCTGTTAATAATAACGGCTGTATTTTTATAATGTTTTCGTAGTTTTGTTGCCAGAAAATACAAAAAATATTTTGAAAAATGCGAAAACTCGAAAATTTTGATCTTTTTTGGTAATTTGCATCCATTTCTGATCAAAAATTCGAAAATGCTCGAACATTTTACGATGAACTTTTTGTATCTAAAAAAACTGTGTGCAATGCTACAAAAATTGTTTAGAATTTGTTATAGGACCGCGCGGGATTACTGGGAAAAATGAGCTTTTCCCTGCTAAAATCCCCCGCTAACAGACCAGTACCCAGTTTTATCGCGATTTCAATTTTGAAACATACGTTTGCAGCCCTGGTGTACCTCTCGACGGGCTTCTCCTGGTCCCAGCCAACTTAAAAAGATGGTTCAAACTTCATAACTAAAGCTCCATACAAATTTCGGCAATCTCCTCCTTCCACTCGTCGAAAATGTCGCTGCCGCTGGTGCCTAATTTAACGGTTATCTCAGCCACTTCATCAAAAATTACCACAAAACTGCATGCACCCGACAAATAGCCATAGCAAGGCGTGGACGCGCATTTTCTACAAAAAAGGAGGTTTTAAAGAAGGTTAAAACGTACCGTTGCACGAAAGATGCGAATTGAAGGTGCCAGATTTTAGCAATTTTTGGTCCCACAAAATTTCCGGATACAGATTACTGATGCTAATCATTTGCAATTCAGATCTGGTGCCTTTCGTTTTGTTGTATTTACTGCTTTTTGTAATTTTTTTTTTTCGACAGGCTATCCCAATAAAAAAACATCCCCTCTAACTCGACGCAGAAGTATTGGAGCGGAACGATAGTTATACCATTCGAAAGCCCCTGAAACGGCCAGTTTGCTACAATCTTCAAATTCATATTTTTATTTAAACACCTCATTTTAAAGCGCATTTTAAAAAATTAAGGAACGGCTTATGCATCCAATCAACGGCTATTTTGCTCGCTTGCAGAAATTGAAGCAAATTAGCTCCGATGCCACCACGAAAAACCGGAAAATCTTACAAACGCATGAAAAGAGCGCAGCTAAATCAAAGCATGGTTTTGAAGATTGTGTTTCAAATGGTGTAACTAACTGGTGATTACAGGTGCAATGGTTTGAAAATGAAACACGTTTTATTCGCAGTATCCACTTATTGATTCTCAGCCTGCCAGGCGGCCAGCGTTCCCGCATCCACTTTGACGCTGTCGAGGTTTTCGGCCTCCTAAAATTCGAGGATGTACGTTAGATGAGAATCTAAAGGCCCTAATAGCCCTTCAAAAGCCCTGAAAAACAAGGAACACCTTGCTTGCTTTATCCATTGCAATCTTGCTTAATCCAGACATTCTAATTTGCTTACCTCCAAGCCGTCCTGCAGCGCATCGGCAAACTTTGTGAGCTGACCCTGGGTTGTCGGGACGGCCACCTGAAAGAAGCGAATGTTGTGTGTAGTTTTCTGAATCAAATAGATAGACACCTAGCGATACCTTGCCCAAAACAAAGCTGAACGCCCATTGTGTGACGGTGACATTGTTGGGTAGTATATTTTGGATGACAAAGAGCTGGGACTGCTGGTCCAAGGTGCAGACGCCTTCTGGAAAAGCACGCATTTTTATAGCATTTTCCAACGCAAAAAAAGAAGAAATACCAGCGCAACGATTTAGAAAACGCAAAATTATGCTAGCTCGTGATCACTTCACCCACATTTTTTTGGTTGAGGCGTACCGAGACGTTTTTAATTATTACAATTGGTCGGCAAAATGGGACTTGCTGGGCATTACACCAGGTAATTTAAAAGAAAAGTAAATGTGGCTTTCGTTCGGAATTTATTTTTGTTTTTATCTGAAACATTTGGCGTTTTTTTGCAACGCATTAATTTCCCTTTGTTTCCGGTACGGACCCTTTCGTTTGACGAGAGGGTTCGATCCACGTACACGCCAATTTTGACTTCCGAGCCCCTTTAAAGCCAGTATCACTAACCTTGAGTCGGAGACGTAGGGTTAGTTCCGTTTGTCGCAGTTGTTGTGCTGTTTATGACGCAGAAGAAGTTCTGCAATGGTTGTTTTAGCCGTGCTGGTCCAGTTATCCTAATGAATGCTGTAGCTGGTGCTCTCATAGGTATCCAAAAAGTTTAATATAAGAAACAAGAGGCATATGTAAAGAAGCGTTGATTAAATTATCTTGGCAGGAAGTCAACGCCTTTTACAGCGTTGCACTTTTTTTCAAATATCCCCGAGATCCTACCAAGAGGAAGAGCGACGTTTTTTTGGTGTCGTCAGGCTTCAGGTTGCGACGAAGCCGATCTTATTCAGAATTTTGCGCTCCGGATGTGGTTACCAAATTTTGTGGAATCGAGGTTTTCATAAAGTTATGCACGTCCTAAGACCGATAAACGCCCGAACAGAGCCCCTTTCGATGGTTTCCGGATTTAAATAACTCATAGATTCGGAAAATAGCGATTCAGCAAATTTGGTAAACACATTTGTAATCAGCGCAAACTCCAATAAACAACCTACCGCCGGTGGCACCATTGTGATCTCGTGAACATTGTCAATCGAGTAGCCCTTTAGTTGCGGGTTTTCCGATTCGGCTTGTGCGAACTGTATTTATTAATTTAATGGTTTTCAATACTTTAAAGTGGCATTAATCCATTCAAGCAAACCCACCGCTTTCCCTAGGCTGGCCTTGAGAGCAGTAGGTATTAGATAAGCATTAACCGCCGTATTGACCCAGGCTTTTGGTATCTTAGACGTTACGGTTATAGTGATTGGCGGGGATCGGCCTTGGCCTAAAAGGTTTTACACGTATGCCTAATCATTCAAAGTAAACTTTCAGCGAACGCTTCAATAATTACCTGGCACACAGCCAAGAGCACCGCCGAGCAGGGTGGCGAACAAAATGAAAACGAGCATTTTGCTCCATACATCCCGGACCGTCGCGTTACATTTATAGACGAGTGTGAATGGGACGCCAGACGGCTTGTCCGATCACCACTTGGGTCAATTTCCCCCTTGCTTTGATGCGGCTGAATCACACAGCCTGGATCGAATTGTAGTTGATTCTGACCGAGCTGTCCGCGCCTTTTTGTAAAAAGATTGGGTGCCAGGTTTGGAATCTTGTTAACCATGACCATCGGATCAACCAGATCGGATGTCGGCTGTTATGGATGTACAAAAAAAACCCCTACCTAGCTAAAACCTCGGTTGGGCATGGTTTCTACACAATTGAGAAGGCTAGAAAATAAGCGGGGTTTTGCTTTCATAAATTATTGAGCATTTTCTTGATGTTAAGCATTTTGCTAAAAAGCCGTGTTTTCTGTGCCGCTATTGCAGTTAACTTGAGAATCTCGGATAAATCAGCTGTTTTCACAGTTTTCAGTCATAAAATCCACAATTAAAGGGTTTCGGCAGCCCTTTAAAGGGGTAGTTCAGGTTTTGGAGCTCGGTCTCGTACCGTCTTTAGGAAGCAATGCACCGGAGCTGTAATGATCTTGCATGCCTGGACGATCTTTCCATTTGAAAAATTTCAAAAATTTCACGCCAAGCTATCCAAAAAACGTTTATTCCGAAGCGACTTTTCAGAAGTTTTCCTCTCGCCAACCAGACATCGTTCCTGGGTTCACCGTCACATCGTCGAGATATTCGGCGCTCTAAAACGAGCTTTTCTACTTTGGCGGCGTGATTCAGCGAATTCGCGCCCTGGTGGGGGTCATTCAGATTCATCCAGCTTTTCCGGGGAGGTTCAGACAAAATTCCGATAGAAACTGACGAAGACACATTTCTTACCTTTAGCCCGTCTTGCAGCGCCTGCGCAAACTCGGTTAACTGCTCTTGGCTTGTCGGCACTGTCACCTGAATTACAATTGATTTGACTTGAAATTGATTTGATGTTCCCCGTTACCAAGCCTTGCTCACCTTATCTAGAACAAAGCCGAATTTCCACGTGTGAACCGCCGTCCCACCGGCCACTGGGTTGTTGCCAGTCACGAAGGCTTCGTCATAGGTGCATCCAACTACAATGTGAGCTAATTATAGATAAAAACAAATTTCGGGTGTGTACAGGATGTCGTCAAAACCACCGACAACGGTTCGAAAATGTGTCGGAATTTAGAGATTTAGGTATCTATCGAAAGGTCTTGACGAACTGACGATTTTTGGAATTCCCAAAGTTCCCACTCGAATGCCCATGCTAGAACTTTTCAAACTCGCTTTAATCACCCTAAGCCCCACCAGCACTGCATTCTCTATAATGCCTTCGAGAAACAGTGGTTGTCGCCATTTTCTAGCAAAAACGCGTTTTTAAAGATGCAAATTGTTTTGAACTTTTCAACTCACTTTGAAACCAATTTAGCAAATTTTTATGGATAGCGCACCCTCAGAAGTAGTTTTCAGGAATGAATTTCAGCATGAAAGTGCTGATGAATAGCTCAAGTTTTTTTGCGGGTAGATAATGGTATGCACTTCTGAGAGAAAGCTGTGTTTTCTGTGCGTGAACCTACCTGACGCAGGTGTCGGTGCTGTCGGCGTTACCGTCGGCTTATCTGAAGGCGCAGGCGGAACGGGTGACTCGGTTGGAGGCACCTCTTGTGCAGAACGAGCTACCCTTCGCGCAAGAGCGGGCGTGGTGGCAGGCGGTGGGCAAAAATAAGCCTAAAAATTGTTCCTCAACATGGCAAAATGAATCCCGGGTGCTCGTCGGGTGCCTGATACCGCGGCATGAAACCTACCGTCTCCGGGATTAACTTCACATGGCGCAGATTCTCCATGGTGTACCCTTTCAGCTTCGGGTATTCTGTCTCCGCGATCGAGAACTGGAAAGAAGATTTCACGATTCCCTATCACCTGTTCGAAAATCATCTGTTCCAAAAGACACCTGTTTGAAAAATCATCTATTCGAAAAATTGCATGTGAGCTTACCTATAAATGTTACCAAAAATGACGATTTTCGAACAGTTGTCTTTTCGAACAGATGACTTTTCGAACAGACGTCTTTCGAATAGATGATTTTTCGAACAGATGATTTTCGAACAGATGATCGGCCACCAGATTTTACGATAGAATTTGTACAATTTTGAGGTTCAGGGGCATCTACTCCCCAACATTTGCCGTCGCTAAAGTATCATATGCAAATTGTTCGGTGTGAAGAGAACTCGCGCTCGGAAGTTCTGACTAGTTTTTTGAGTGCAAGACACTGTATACCGCGTCCCAAAAAAGCGACCGCTCTAGTTGCGCGGTAAGCGGTAAAGAAAGCGTGGTCTGAAAATTTGTGGATAAAAACGGCTTGTTCTCTCGCCTTTCCGAGAGCTTTCTATAGAGCTCTAAATCGTTGAAATCGGATACTTACGAGGCCCGCCAGAAGGGGGTTCGTTTTTTTAGGACACCCTGTATAAATCGTTTGAATTGAACGTGTATGTGGGTTTTTAAAGGGAGTGAACTACTATTGGCAAGTTGCTGCTACAAATACACCCAAAAAATATTTCGACCTAGCATGATAAAAATGTCGCACCGCTTTTCGTAGGCTCTCCTTAATCGCTGTGATGATTACATTTTGACTATAAGTCGTGGTGACCCATGCCTTTGGTATTTTCGAATTAACAGTGACGATGATCGGCGGTGAACGGCCATGCCCTAAACAAGATATTTTTCTCGTTTTTTTCGACGAAATCGCTATCAGAAATTTTTTGGGTGCGCCAAAAGCATTGCAAACCTAGAAACTACACGGAAAATACCTGGTACACAGCCGAAAACGCACGAAACCAATCCGAGGAAGACGAACTTGGCGAGCATGAGTGCGTCTGACTTTTCAACTCGATGCACTACCTTTTATAATTTCACGCGATTTGTCATAGTGGTTTGGAGTTGCCCCCCTTTGACTGGTACCGGAATTCAAAGTTGAAAAGACGAGGCGCGCCCACTTGGCATTTTTTCTGAAAAAATGTTCATCATCTGTGGAGACGGACAGCTCTATTTATCAAAAAACCGGAACTTGATTTATCAACCTTTGCTGATTAAGCGCGAGGCCCCTACGAAAAATTACAAAATCACTTGGCTTTCATGTTTAGGTGACGCATTTGGTTTGAAATTAGAGTCTCGTCTGTCTGCTACAGACCGCCATTGTGACCAAGTCTAAAATTAAAAATTAAAATTAAGCGTAAGAGTGTTATTTTTGCCGCATGGATAACTAGCTTCAGAGTTACTGTTAGTATCTAGCCAAAATTGTTAAAAAACATCCGCCATCATGTTCATTTAGCGCCAGATATTGGCATGAAAAGCCAATGGGATACAATGTTTTCTCTTGCAACATTGAGGTCTAGTTTTTAAGAACTTGAGCATTTTCTTTGTGGAGCCGGAGTTAAGGCATCTTTCCGGCACTCCCCTTACGGCGGTCTGGGCTCATCTTTCCTGCTTTGATTCGCAGCTTAAAGGGCACGTTCAGGGACGTTTTTTTGGAAAAAAAGCAAAGGTTTTTGCCGCAGCCGGGGGTCGAACCCGGGCCACCCGCTCGGGAGGCGCGGATGCATACCAGTCAGCCACAGCTACAACCTGGCGAGGGGCCGAGGGGCGCCCCACCCCGCAAAGGAGCGGAATGGCCTGTCACAGCACGGGCAGGCCGTGCGCGCGGTCCCTACGTCCATAGGGTGTACACGTTGGGACGAGTACACGGCCCCTCCCTGAACGTGCGCTTTAAAGGGGCGCTGAAATGAAAATTGGGTTACGTCGAGCCTTTGGGCGGGAGAAACGCCGAACTTTGAAATTCGCATTGGTCACCCCCAACACCACGTTCTCGACTGTTTCTGGGCCAAATTCGACGATTAAAACACGGAAACTATTTAAAATCGATTGAGGATTTTATAAATGAGCTCAGAATCCCCGGATTATGGTGTTTTCACAAAGAAATCGAGCAAAAACGGTTTCGCACAAAAAATCGAAAGAGTCTCGTCCCGTCGCGGCTGCTGGCAACTTGCCAGAAATATATGCATTTTCATAACGCCGTTTCTTTCGAATGCCGCTCTATCGGAATGCTGCAGTTTACAGGCATAGCTGTTATCAAAAGGGTAAATTTCATTAACATTATACTGTTTGCAGACAGAGAATTGCTTGTAACTATACCTGAGAACAATAACTTTACAAATTTTAACCAAGATATTAGGTTCTTAGATTGGAAGATCGAATTTTCTGAGGCAAATGGCAAACACGTCAGCTAGTTACTGAATAGGGAAAATGAAAGTCCACACAAAAAAATCATTTTCTCCGTTCGTGCCGTTAATCGACAAAGTGGCATTCGAGTAGAGCGGCATTGTGAAAAAGCGGCATTGTGAAGAGGCGGCATTATGAAAAGCGATGTTCGGCAAAGCGGTATACTGGAAATATCCCGTTCGGCTCCGAATAGTCACGGGGGAAAGACGTACTGTACGCGTTTTTGGAAAGTTGCGTGCGTGGGGCGCGCAATAGCAAGCGGTATTTAGCTGCGCAATCCTCCTGCTTTTCTTAATTGCATAACGCGTCTATCGCACGCATTGCGGCCTGCTCTCGCTTCACTCGCTTGATTAGGAGCCGGACTACTGTGAGGGAAAAGGGAACATAACTACCAAATCTGGCAATGTGCCAAGTATCCACGTAACGCATCGATTTCTGCTTGCGCTCTCCCTTTAAAACGCTTCCCTGCCAGTTTCTGTGGGTCGCTAATGTCTGCTTGTCATTGGGTCCAATGCGTTGTAGCCACATATGCGGTAGCTGAGCGCGAAAAACGGAATTCTTGCTTTATTGCTCGTTTAAAAACGGGTTCAATGTGCTCGTCGTTTATTGCGCGGCAGCTTGCCAATCCGCCAACTTTCCTGCGTTCACGGTCACGCCCTGGGATTCGGTGAGCGTCTGAAACCGGATTCAAATGATTTCTCGACTCCGTTTACCTCTAGCGCGTCCTCGAGGAGATCTTGAAAGGCATTGATAAACTGTTGATTGGGCGGAACGGATACCTGAAAGAAAATGTTTTAAGGATTTAAGGATTTAAGGATTTTAAGGACCCATGAAAAAATTGAAATCGTGCTTGAATTAGTTTACCGCCAGGGTTGAAAAGCCCTTTCGCGGCGGCAACCCGTATTTAACGCCCTTTCGCGCCCCTTCACGCCTTCCTGTAAATAACGTCCCCTGTATTTCGCGCCGCCTGTATTTCGCGCCGCCTGTATTTAACGCTCTCCTGTAAATAACGCCCTGTAAATAACGCCCTGCAAAACGAGCTTTTTCCTGTAAATAACGCCCTTTTCGTGGTCATTTGGAGGGCGTTAAATACAGAAGGGCGTTAAATAAAGGGGGCGTTATTTACAGGGGGCGCGAAATACAGGAGGGCGCGAAAGGGCGTGAAGGGGCGTTAAATAAGGGTTGCCTTTCGCGGCTTTTCACCCCTGGGCCCCGTCCAAAAGCCTTTAATCCGTCAAGTTGACCGTCAACCCCCCAAGGGGCGCGATGCGCCAGAGTGGCTCAAAATTAAAATCGATTTTTAACCTGTTTCCTGTACAGTTTGGCAACTTTTGCAATCGTATTCGGTATCAGCGAAAAATTCTGCGCGAGATGTGCCATCTCAGCTAACGAAATCCCACGGTCAACATAAGGGGGTTACGGTTAGCGAATGAGCGCACGCTTTATTGGAAACCGAATCTACCTTGTCCATCACGAAAGTAAACTTCCACCCCGTCACCGGTACTGTTGCCCCGGAGAACGTGTTGGTGTGGACGAAGTCACCAGTAGTTGGTTGACAAATACCCTCTTAATGATGTTGTTTAAAAAAATAACGATCGATACGTACCATTTGCAGCCGCTGTTCCCGTAAAAACGCAGTAGTAATTCTGCAAATATATACTTAGACAGCCACGATAGACTAGGAGTGTAGGTTTCTTACCAAATAGGTGGAAAATCCAGTTCTGATTCGTTAGCGGTAATTTTATCGGGAGGAGAACATTTTTTGCCATAGCTACTTTGACCTTGAGGTATTTTGTTTAATTAATTATTGTTTTGAGCTGTATATGAAACTCTTAGTATATGTTTTGATGCATTATGCAACAACTTTGAGACAATGTCGAAAATAATCGAAAATCCTGAAAACTCAAATTTACCAACTCCCATTTTCAGGGTTATTTTTGCTTTCGTTATAATTTACTGAAATTATTGTGTTTTGATCTGGAATTAAAATTGTTAAAATATTTTTTGATGATCTAGGTCGCGATGCTTTAGTCCCGAAAAATAATGAAATATTGAAAAATCTACGATATTAACCATCCCCCGCTAACAAACTAGAGCCAAATTTTCCAAGGTTTTCCAATCGGGATATAACCCGTTAACACAACTGCTTAGAATGTTTGCCTTTTACCTGTATATCTACGGCGGTCACTTTTTTGAGGTTGGCCGTATCGTAGCCAGCGAACCGCGCGTCTTTTTTCTTGATGGTGTTGAACTTAACAGACAGATGAAGAACGGAGCTGAACGCCGCTCACCGCTTCGATTAGGGTATTCCGAATAGCGAGCTGACGCGGTTGAGCATTCTCGATCGCTCGCCCCACCCACGCATGGGGGATGCTGCCTGTGACGCTCACGGCGATGGTTGGTGAGCGGCCATTGCCTAGACACAAACTATGCAATATAATAATATAAAACAATATATTTCTGAAAAGCGTCAGCTAGGCATGGTAGATTTTAAGTTCGATAGCTAGTGAAAACCCGTAAAACAGCAAAATTCGGTTTCTGGACTGTTAGTGGGGGATTCTTAACAGGACGCGACAACCACTTTTTGTTTTTCCACCTATAGCTGTTGACGATATATGATGTTTTTTGACAGTTTCTTAGTAATTTTTGCTTGCTAATAAGTTATAAAACATCTTTAAAAATTTTGAATTTTTATTTTTCATACATTTTTCATCAAACAGTCCGTAATTTTCAACGATTTTTACTATTTTTGTGTCTTGTTTTTATATCTAAAAACTATGTAAAATGCTATCAAAATAGGCTATAATTTTTTATAGGGTCGTAGAGAATCCCAGTGAAAAGTTTGGTTCCCCGCCAGAACCCCCACCCCCCGCTAACAGTCCAGAACCCAAAATTGCAGGCTGATGTTAAACTGGTTATCTTCGCCCGTTTTGAATATAATCGAGCTGGCCCGTCTTGTCAGCCTTGTCAGCCCAATTGCCGCGGAAACGCTTATTTTTTTACAGTATTGAAAAACAATTTAAAAATTACTTAACAGCGATTTCAGAAAAGTGCTGTCCTGAAAATGCACCTCCTTTTTTGCAGGGTTGCCACATTTTTGCTTTCAACCAGCGCAATAATCTTGGGAACTTGGGATCGCAAAGCCAAACCTGGAAGGCAGCAATGGCCAATGCCAGCAAACAGCGCAATGCAGGCAATCTTGGCGAGCATGTTTCAGCGGCGACTTGATGGAAATGGACACCCAGTATCTTTTATAGTAAGACAGCCTTCGGAATTTTTTCATTGGTCACCCGGTCTCCCCGCTGATTTTGCGGCCTTTGACAAAATTCCCGACAAGATGAAAAGCGCAATTGGGCGCCTTTGAATTCGTCCTGAACTCGAGAGTTCCATCTATTGAACGCGCCGGAAATTGGGGGATGGTTGTTATTTTTTTGATTTGTAATATAGCGACACGTCATCTTTCCCGAATGTTAATCACGGAAATTTCAAAATGCCGACGATTGACAATAAAACAAAATTTAAAAAATTCGGCCAAGATCGAATAAGGAGCCATGGAGACTTCATAAATGTCTAAAACATTTAACCTCTGG